CATAAGTGGAGACATTTTAAGTGTTTCAGGTTCAAAGTCGTTGTAGAATATCTGCCCTAAAGGGTGGCGATACCAGTTACGACGCCTCAGGCTATGTTCGATAATCTCAAATTAGAAATGGCATTGATATTTCGACAAAACCTGTCGGCTATTTTGGCTGCAATGCCCATTGCTTGGAACCTTTTTTTGTCCATATCCGTGGTTGGCATATCAATCTTTCTCTTAAGCAATTTGTACTCACAGAATTATAGGAGTCTCTGCTCTGAGCCTTGTCCAATATGTCTGCGCACCTCTACAGCGCTACTGTAGAATGCCCGTGCCCTAGAATGTGGAAAACTGGCACAACAGAACAGCTTTTCTTGACTTATTAAAAGCTAAAATCATTCATTAGTCGCCGCCCATCTGAGTCTCCCACGCTGGCATCGCCCCTCACTATATACTGCTCCTCATCTGTTTCTGTGTCTGGTTGGCTGGCTATCTTCCTCGTATGCCATTGGAACGCAGACAGACACAGGATTGGCTGCTGCCAGGTGGTTCAACATGTCTGCGCCATGATCCGACGCCACTGTAGAATTTCCGAGCCCTAGTAGGAAAAAGACCGGTACAACAGAACAGTCTTTATTAACCAATCAAAAGCCAGAGCCACGCGTCAGGCGCCTTCCATCCGAGTCCACCACGCTGGCCACGCTACTCAATATATACTGCACCTCATTCATGTCCTTCTCCAGATGGCTGTTTATCTTTGCATGCCATTGGAACGCATAGAGACACAGGATTGGCTGAGGCCATGTGGTCCAGTATGTCTGCGCCCCGATCCGTCGCCACAGTCACCACAACACATTACACTACATCGTGTTTCTAAAACGCGTCTGTTACGAAATGGCTAAGTGGGGTGAGGGAGATCCTCGTTGGATTGTTGAAGAAAGAGCAGATGCGAAGAACGTAAATAACTGGCATTGGACTGAGAAAAACGCCACACAATGGTCAATTGATAGAATAAAGTCCCTTCTTATTGGCTATACTTTCGAATCACAAGACTGTAATTCAAACATTAAATTTATAGAGAAATCCAGTTTTTGTAGAGTTAACAAACGTCACAAAATGTAACGGCGAAGCAATAGCAAATAATAGGAAAGCAAAACTCATATTCTTTTATGAGTGGGATATAGAAATCGAATGGCGAGGTAAGTTCTATACCGGAAGGTTTGTGCGGAAATTAACGTTTGCACTCCGTCATATTAGTTCTAATGTTATTTCTACTCCTATAGGTAGCAAAAAAAGCAGTGAGAAACCCACTAAGTTTCTTGGAAAGATCGTGGTAAATAACCTTAGTGAAGAATATTCCGCTAACGAATTGGATTTTGACGTGACGTGCGAGTCATCCAGCTCCGATGCAAACGAAGTCAAGGAGTTCTTACGAAAAAGTGGACCGCAGTATTTACGCAAGCAATTGGGGATTTACATTACCGACCTCAAGCATGGTATGCTTAGCTAAAGCGGTTGTCCTATTTAATGTATTCACTTTCCAAGTACTTTGATTATCTAGTTAATGAATTTAAGTAATATTTTACCCTAAACTTCTTTACTTTAGAGTATGGCAAAGATCTTATACTACCAACAAAAGATAAGCAAGGATCTCAGGCGTCGGCCTCTAGCAAAACGCCAACTGGTGGAAATTTGGTGGAGGCCATGCGAAAATCCGAGCCCCATTCTACTAAAAATACCTCAACTCCGATTTTTGATTCATTAGGAACTGTGAATATATCCATGAACGAAGATTTTATGTGTACGCCGGAAGATCTTTACAAAGTTTTGGTTACAGAAGAAGTATGTGCGTTGATTTATCCTGTCCATTTTCGGTCTTGTGCTGACCGAATACTACACATGTCTTTTTAAACGTACTCATTATGTTCCGGAAAGTCTTAGCCCGATTATTTCGGTTTCCAAAGAATATGTTGAAATTAGTCAGCAACAGGTCATATCATCTTACTTCATGTTAATCAGATCCTTTCATTTAAGAGATTCAGTACACTTTTTAATAATTTAATGATGGTGATTGTATTTAACATTATTTCGCAGTGTTTTCCAACACTCACGTAATCACCTGTTTTAAAATGCAGGTGAGCTATAATTTGACGTTTTGCGTTAAATTTATTAAACTAGATTAACTAAGATCAATATTTGTGGACGTAATGGACGTCATTATAATCGCCATTTTACTTTCTGATTTAGTTAACACTTATCGGCAAGTATGCCCACTAAAGAAAGGGTCCAATGACTTTAGTAGTGCTCGAATTTTCTGCAATCTTCCACTATTTGTGCTCCTACTGGCTATGTCTTGAAATGTATCACCATATTCGCTTTCGTGCATCACAAATTGTCATGAAAAATGCTTCCCAGGGCACCCAATATATCCCGCAACATGAGGCCTTACTGAGTTCACGCACACCTCCGTCAACATAAACGCAAAATTGTATTCAATGAAGGTATTTGCTAGCGTTTGATTACGGAAGGTGTAAAAGGATTTGCAGAATCCATTTGTGCGACCACATCTTTTAAAGCACTTTGCTAGTTCGTCATACGTGATTCGTGGCAATTTTGAATAATACATAATCTTGTGGGAATATCATAAAAATCCGAACTCAAATTGACCTCAACTGCTCGTGTTGAATTCATGCAAGACATGTGCTATTTTTAAGTACTAATAATTGAAATAATGTTTAAACTCTATCCAATCATTCTGTCATTCCTTAGACATCAAGCCGAATCTCGCCACTACATGAGCCAGATACATTTAAATAACTCGTGATGTATATTGCTAGCGTTAATTATTCTTTGGTAATAATTCGAGACCGGTTCTGAGAGGCTAAAGCAAGAACTCCTTTGTGGATTGTCTGTAATATATCGCGGGTTCTGTTATCAAAAAAAGTGACGATTACACCATTGAAAAGTGCCTGCAAGATTTGTGATAGTGTTGTGATACGCAAATTACGACAAATAGCAGCAGTTCCCGAACATTTTGGATAAATGAGCGTGGTTTTTATGGAACAATTAATAGTTGAATAGTCGTAAATCTATTGTGTTGAGTCGATTTCGAAGTTTACCCTCGCCTGCCTCATGACGACGTGTTATTTCGGGATTTCCTGGAGATAGTAACCTGACCAATATCAGACGGCATTGTGCATCTCCATAAAAGAATATGTAGACAATTATAGGCACAATATCGACATTTTTTTGCTTTTCCGTTATTTTACATTGCCGTGTACTTCACTGTTTCCATTAGGCCCTGTATTGAATAACCAATACAGTAGAAATTTATGGCATTCTTCAAAGAGGAACATTGTGTATTTCCTCCCTATTTATTCCTGAAGTCAATGCAATCTGTAAAAATCGTCTAAAGAATATGAGACTATAATTTTTCATTGCGTTAATACGAACCATCCCAGTGTATTGTAGACAAGGAAGCAGACAGCCTCCAGAGCAACTCATTGGGGTTTTTGTTTTGTTATTTTGACGTTGTCTAGCTTACCAAGATGTTCACCCAAGGAAATGCAACTGTACAGGCCCATGTCGGTGGAAAATATGACATTTTCAGTGGAAATGTTACCGGAAGCTTTATTGAATTGGTGGGTGTTGCCTATTTGTTCAACAGAACGATGAATTTTTGTGCCTTTATTTTACATGACTAATGTTTATTGGTTTGTTTAACCTGAAACATCTTAATGTAAGCAAGCCCTAATGCCCCAAATTACGTTTGTCGTTTAGGCGCCACTTTAAAGAAACACTAATTTTGGTTCCTAATCCTGCCCACGTTAAAATGAACGTATCATGTCGGCCATAGTTATTCGGGAAAAATTTACTTGTCAACTTTCATGTTCACTTCGATACTTACCTAGGTAAACGCGGGATGGGTGGGTAAAATAAATTGCGGACAACTTGGCCAGTACCTTTACTTTATTCCTAGAAAGGCAGCATAAGCAGCAAACTCAGACATTATTTGGATCATGTTTTGACACGGTTGCAACAGCAACAATTTGCTGGAGTTCCAATTAGAATTTGCATTCTGAACCTCTCTTTTAGGTACCGAATAAATCGATATCCATGTTCTGGCGAAAAGCCAGTTGGCCTGAAGGCCATCAGAGCATTGTGAAGCTGGATTTCACGCAATCAGAAACTGGGACGCACTTAAAGCTTACCCAGACCAATGTTCCCGCCAGTGACAAGGAGGGAACGCAATCAGGATGGCCCACTCACTACTTCGCGCCCATCCAGCGTACCTTTGGATTTGGTGGAAGGCTATTTTAAAATGCATAAGAGGGCCCACGCTGTCCTGAGACGATGAATTTTTTATCCGGACACGAGCACTTGTTATATCGTGTTTTATTGAGGCGTTAAGTAAAATGGTAAATTCACAAGACATGAGATGACTTTTGCATATGGGGCGGTCTGGAAATCCATTTCAGGTTTTATTTCAATGAGAAGCAGATGCGGCGGCTTGAATCGGTAGCCATTAGTTATTTCAAATGAGTTTCTCGTGCACTACTTGCCTAGTTTGTGCCACTTTTATCGTTGATTGTGAACTAATCGCCAACCCTGCTATTAGAAGTTGACCATCCGATGTTTGCTTGATATCTTCAACTATTACTAGTAAAATAGTACATTAGGTGGTTTCCGGAAATTGGTCCTTTTGTACCTGAAATTGTAATGATGAGTATTTTCTTTTACCCAAAAGAGCGATAAGACCGCAGAGGGGGTGCTCGCTGGATATATAACCGGCCCAGATCTGGTTAATGAATATTGGTGGCTTTCCGAAAAAACTGATGAGTGCTCCTCGGTGGGGTTTTATCAGTATAAACGAGAATCCAAACCGGAAGTCCTAATCTCGGGATGTCGACCAAAGTGCTTGAATTTAACAAGGTTCATGATTTCAGATAATGCGCTCTTTGGAAGTAATCAGTTTAAAATAATTTGGATTATCCCAGTCTTACATGACCCTCAAATCGCAATTTTGTAAATTCAAGCGCAGTTGAAATTGCCCCCAACTTTGACGCTCAACACGCCGTCCCGGCCCAATCATCAGAGCATCACCGACGAACCAATCTGCCTACGTCTTATTGGGGGTAGCTATAGGCGGCGCCTCCACTATCACCAAAGCATTCATAATAATTAAGTATACTGTACTTATTTAGTACCTTTAGACGACTCAAATGTTTCAATAGCAGGCTAAGAGCCAAACTGAATACGAGGTAGAATTCAGACAGTTGATGTTCTGAGAAATGGCGGGGCAACTGTCACTAATTCCTTATGTGCTGGTATCGTTTTAATGAAATAAAAATCAGGAGGGTGGATGACTGACATCGAAACCAATCCGAGGCGAACCGCTTGAAGAATACTCCTACGTTGTGAAACACCGACCACTGGCCTTTAAAGCGGGGGAACGGATTTTAGGTCACCCATCGAGATCCCAGCCGTGGCTAAACTTCGTTGCACGCAGCTTGATCTGTTTCAAAAAAGTCATGGCATCCCACAACATGAAAAATCAATATGTAATAGGTTAATTAATGAAGAAAATTCGAACTTGGAAGCACAGTCCATTCGAATGCTACCAGATTTCAACAACCTCGTACCATAGTCCCTCCCAATGAATGCAGACCTTTTTTCGCATGAAAGCGCAAATGATACAGCCATAAGAACTAGTCAACGAGCACTTTACTCCTAAGCCACACACATTTTACAGAGGAATTCTTTGCTGGTTAGAGATGGATGGTGAGGGTGATGATTTACATTTTGAACGAGGTTCCATGTACCAAGAAACTACTTGTAGAAGTCCAAACGCATCAGAATGCGTCCCATAGAATTTCGAGGTTTTCTATCCCTTTAGCCGAGAAAGTACAATAAAAAAGTTGTAATTAATGCCAAAAGAGCGCTGCTACAAGTATATGTGATTTGTGATCAGTGTGACTAAAACGGGCACGTATAAACAATGCGAAGGAAAGGGATCATCAGGTAAAATACAAAATGGCTAAGTAGAAGGATGACACGAGAACCAAAGCATTGTACTACTGCGTAGTGCTCGAGCTTGGTACTTCTAGGCATCGGAGGGCAGTATAGTTTCGGCCTGGACCCCAGGGAGACGGTGTTTTCGCCATATCTGTTTCTTTTTGTTTGCTTCCACTGCGTCGTCCACAATTTCATCCATTTTGGTTTCTGTCAGAATACCATCCTCGCTTGCGAAGGCTGCCGTCTAAACAAAATTTCATTCGAAAATTATGAGTAAACAGATAAGCTGATATCATATGTAAAGCAGAAGTACACGTCCCGAGATTAAACAACTAGAAACTATGTGGTTATGTAAGGTTTGTTCCCGTTTTCAAACAGCACGACAAGCGTTAGGTACTGCACCTATTTGATGGAGATAAAGTAGGCACTCTGAAGAAGCGAACCTGTCGATGGTTTCTTTATTGTCCTAATAGCATTAACGTTTGTTGAACACGAAGGGATTGATTTTGCGGATGATGGACTAAGTCCCACAATGCTTGGAGTTGGTTATTCCTTCTAAAAGTGTTCACCGCTTAAATTTTACAGAATATCACCTCAAAGAACCAAAGTATTGCCAGACACGACATTGACCATCGCTGTAAAACCTAATCAAAATGCACTGTTCAATGCGGGCAAGCAAAACCAGTTAGGTTAGCTTGTTTTGGAATTTGACGAGCCAGAACTAATACGAATGATGTGTGAATGTTGATGCAAAAATTGTATACGCCAATAAAAACTTAAAGACTGGGAAATCATAGTGAAAGTAAGACGCGACATAGCCTTTAAAGATTTGAAGTGAACAAGAGCCACACCAGATAAAGGGGACTGGAAAGTTCGGACTAACCTGCCAAGCGATGGCGACCTTAGAAAGCTCGCGACCCGACAGACCTTCAGTGCGTGCTGCTACCGCGCCACACTTTGCTGCATAATCAATGCCGTCAGCAAGACGAATACGCTGTTTCTTATCCATTGAGGGCTGAAGCAGGTACAGATCAAAGTAGTGGCGAATCATTCGTTCACGCTCACGCTGTTTTGGCACGTCAAAATATACTATCTTGTCCATACGGTCGTTAATGGCCCAGTCAAACTGCTCTGGTTGGTTGCTTGCCAAGACAAGCATGAATCTGGGTAAACAAAAAAAGAAGTAGAGCCACATTACATTTCCCCCGATTTTGGTAAGCGAATTATAGTTACACACAACATACCATTTCACTTAGATAAAACGCTTAAAAGGAAAAATTGAGAAGACAAAGAGCTGGCCAACATTCCGGCTAGCATTAGTTTAAACTCCACTCTGATGAGCCTTATCAATGAATAATTACATAGTCAAGAACTTTGACCAAAAGGTAATTAAGGTGGCACTTGCCTACATTCGCCTGACTTATCTATAAGCAGCAGTACATATGTTTTCCAGAAACGCTTCCAACTACGGTACGTCATGTAGCCCCGCCCACGAACCAGGAAAGACACGTAAAGGGATGTTTAAAAGTGCTCAACATAAAAAAGGAACAACACGCGTGCATTAATGTCGATGAAAACATTAGCAAGATTAGAGATACCGACGTGAATCGACTACGTGTGAATGGGTGTCTGTTAAACAGTCAGAGGAAAGTATGGACAAGATGTAACTTAGTGTTTTGAGCACTAGTATCTTCGAGAGATCGCAGGTAAAGAGGTAGTGTATTTTTGGACGGTAAAATTGACGTGGCAGACACAGAGTAATGTTTCAATAGTTACCAAGTGATACGGTAACAAAAAGAAAAATCTAAAACAGCATTAACGCTGAATTATACAAGGAAACATTATATCGCTTCCAAAACCAAAGCAAACAAAACGGTGGAACAAGAGCACAAATGCAAAGCATAAGGGTACGAGTGTGCGAGGGTAAAAAAACTTACTTTTGCGATTGCTCTCCCGTTCGGTATAGGAAGGCGTTCAGAGTTGCACGCATGCCTTCGGATATTCGTTCCTGCTCTCGTTTTCGAAGAAAGGCGTCAGCCTCATCAACAAACAACAAAACTCTACAGGTAAAAACCACATCACACAAGTGAGTCGAGTATATGGTGGGAATTGAAAATCGAAAAATAAACAATTTCCTTACATCAGGGAAGAAAAGAAAGCTATCAAATAAATTCTAGAGTTAGCAATTGATCCTACCACTAATATGTAAAGCATGATTTCAGTACGCAAACCACCCTTCTCAACCAGACGCATTACTGATTTAACATAAGGCCGAATTGCTAGCTAAAATTCCGGACAATCCAACAGATTCAGAACTACTTCAGTGCAAAAGAGGAACCTTAGTAACAACGATAAATATTGCAACTTTGTCGATACAAGAAGAGTAATGGAGTTGTAGAAGGTATCTGTTCGTACAATAGATGCTGGGAAATAAAACTAAATTAGCGACATCTAACAATCTATAAGCTAACAGCCGGTTAGTACGATGGAAAATTTGAAGAGGCTCACCCTCTGCGGCTGGTCTTTGCCCAGTTGAATACTTTGTGAATCGCTGTAACACCCTCACTACCCATAGGGGCAATATCACCACCCGTCATGATAGCGTAGTCCAAACCAGAATGAGTCGCCAAGCCCTACAAGTTTACGTGATAAAGAAATTCCCGCAAACCTTTGCAAACATGGTCTTTCCTGTGCCTGGTGGACCAGCCATGAGAACGTTACGGTAAAAACCTTTATTCGCCTTCGTGTGGCGGGTAGCTACCGCTATCTCCCGTAGCTGAGCTTCGAGTTTGGGCTAAAAAAGTGCAGTCGAACCACCATATAATAACGCATAGGCGTTGGTTGAGAGAATTGTAAGAACTAACCTCGAGTATAACGTTTTTCAAAGGATCGCTTGGACGAGCAAACATTCTCTTGAGGGCCTACAACACACGACAATAATGCGAAACCGGAGAATACCTGCCAGGGATTGCGAATAAGATCCACGGTATTAAATCGTGATGTTTCACGAACAAGAGAAGGCTTTCCGATCCGGGTTTCGATAAGTCGGGCTACAGTGCCAATACCGAATTTGGCACCATAAACACCACCAGCTAATATGGTAACTGCTCCAACGGAGGTAATGACCTTATTCCGATCTTTCAGGAAGGCATCCAAACCGGCTCCCATAACAGAACCCACTGTTTGTATCGATTGTAATATGGTCTCGCGATGTTCTCTGGCTTCAACGCGAGATCTTTCTAGTCTTATTTCGCGATTTTCGCGCTCCACTTGAGCCTCTCCACGAAGTCGTGCCTCTATTTGCTTAAGTTCATTTTGGTGACGCAATTGTGCTTCGTATTCGATTGTTTCTAGTTTCATGTAAGAAAAAAAATTAACATACGTCGCCTCATTGCTTCCTGCTTTTGGACAGATTCCTCTTGCTTTCTAAGTGTTTCTTCATGCATGCGAGCCTAACAAAAGCACTCAAATGACAAACGTTACTTGCTGGGCCATTTGATCTTCCTGCCGTTTCCTTGCAAGCATATCCTGATAATCAACACGGTGTTTCTGGATTCTGGCCTCCTCTTCTAACGTTTTTCTCCGTTCTTCCTGTTGGACCTGAATCTGGCGAATTTTCAACTGCTCAATGCTAGCTTCATATTCCTTCAATTTGGCCTGATACTCAAGCTGCTTTGTACGTTCCTGCATTCGTGATAGTTCAAAAGCCTCCTTTGCATTTTCTACCACAAAAAATAAAATAATCGCATTTACTGGATGCTTCCAGTTCACGAGCAGCTTTAGCAGCTCTTTCCAGGGCCGCTGAGTCGAAGCTAAACGCAGAGAGTGCCTCTTCAAGCTGTTTGGGATTTTTTTTGTCTGGGGGTGGCGGCGGTGGATTTGGACCTTCGCTTCCACCAGAAATATCAGGGGGTTGAGGTCTTGAATAGCCAAAAAGCCAGGACATGTCGGACGTTGACGAGTAACAACAAACACGTTTCACGACAATTTACGCGGGGAGTAACGCGGTGATACAAAAGTGTTTTATTTAGTGAGTGAGATTAAAAATGCAAAAAAACATCATCAATATTACATCCTAAGGCAAAATTAAAGATGTTTTTTAAGTAATAATAAAATGTAACACAAAAATTACGCTATTTGTGCACGAAATATCGTTCTGGGTATTTCGAATTTAATTGAATTCCACCGCAAGAATCCACATTGCGAATTTATTAAATTAATTCCCGTTAGAATGCTGTAAATTTTATTTAAATCTTCTTTAAACAACCTTCCTATTATAATAACAACTTGATAACATGTTTGTTATTATAATTAGCGTCCTCTTTGTCAGTTCAGCTTGCCCATTCTCTAAAAGAAGATATGTTGTAGCACGGCTTCTGTGAATGCCCTACAAATCACCCAACACCAAAAGCAACAAACTTTAGAACTGACTACCTCTATCTGTGTGAATGTGGTAGAGTACCCCATGATCAGCAACCAATCCCGCCATGAATACTTTTGCTACAGACACAGGGTCTGCCTTGCGGATGGGTACAACGTTTGTCCTTTTAGTTAACCATAACTAAAATGTACCGGTTACAACTAGCCGTACTGGGAAGGGGTTCCATGAAATCTAAGACAATAAATCCATTTAAGAAACCCAGTGTTATGAGTTGGAGTGGATACATGACCTCATCACAGCAGTGACAACTCTCGCAAATATCATTTATATCGTCACGCATGGATGAATACCAGTATCGACTACGAGCAGCTTGCTCCACTTTTGCTGATCCCAGATAGCACAAACTAACATGTATTTCGTTAAAAATTTGCTCCACAGCGGCCCGTGGTACTATCACTCGGAAAAAATACCATGGTCCAAACTTACAGTATGATACAATCCTTGAAACTACGATTATTCTATGCAGACCAAAGGGCTTGCGCTTCCTGCCTACTTCCACCATATCTTTGTCGGGTGGCTTAGGAGGGCCAGTGTGCTGCCTCTTGTACATGAGACTTATGTACGGATCTTCCGATTGAGCCGTTTCCCAATTCTCAACTAATGTTTTCTCCTTGGAAATTGTAGCTAAGTCTGTCTTATGCTCCGGAATCCTAGACAATGCATCTGCATTCTCGTGCTTCTTCTAAGAGCAATACTCATTTTTATAGTTAAACTAGCTCAGTACCTAATGTCACCTCGCAATAAAGCCCAAAGGTCCCTTAAAGTAACGCAATCACTTTTGAGCTTGATGATCCGTGCGTACAACCATCTCATTACCTAAGAAAAAGTGCCTATAGTACTTTAAGAAAAACTTTAGGGCCAGCATTTTCTGTTTAGTAGTGCTAAAATTGCTGTCTGTCTTTAAAACGTCTCTGCTACCAAATGCTATAGGGTGTTCTGAACAATCGGGTTAAACCTGCGAAGGTACTACTCCAATCAGTCTCTCTGACGCGTTCATGTTAAACATGAGCGGAATTTGATCATTTCTCACGTTTAAGAAAGGCAAGTACTGGAACACATTTCTCAAAGTGTAGTTTAACTTCCGCAATCTGAAGTCATTCAAAGATATTGCTCATTGGCTTAACTTGTTTCCTGATATATTTGCACAGACGATCACGTTATCCACACAAACCAAGCATTCTTGTAGCATTAGACAAGGGAAGACGGAGTTCATTAATCACAGAAACGTTGTCTGAGCGTTAGATAATCCAAATAGCTTAGTTTCGAATTCCTATAACTCTGACGGAATAATGAACGCCGTTTTCTCTCGATCGATTAAATTGATCGCGACGCGCCAGTAACCCGACTTAAGATCCAAAGTAGAGAACGATGTTGACCCGCCTAAGGCATCTAGCGTGACGTCCATTCGTACAATGGGAAAGCTATCTTTTACTGTGACTTCATTTCGTTTCCCGTAGTCTACACATAATCTAGTGGGACCGTACTTCTTTTTGACGACAACGATAGGTGATGCTGCGGTTTGCTGATTTTATTCTGTAGCATATCTGCGATGGCTTTCTCAACCGCCTGCTGATACACCACAGATATCAATCAAGGACGTTGTCGAATAGGGCTTGCGTCTGTCGTGTGAATTTCATGCAGGCTAACACGCTTAAGCTTCTGCATATTCTCGGACCAACTTAAGATGCTGAGTAAGGTCTAGCACCTCGCTGTCAGATTGTGTGCTTACAAGTCGGCCTAGCCCCTCTGGGGTCGTATGTGCCAGTGCTGTAATCGTGGCCATAATACCGTTACTCTGTTCGTACACTACCGGTGCTTCATGAGGCTCTGGGTGCAAGAAACGCTGTGGTCGACTTTATTCGCCCGCGTACCTGTTGAGGAAGTCTGATGCAATAGTCCGTTGTATGTCATATCCTAGCATAAATTTAAGATATTCTGGTAAAGACTACCCGATATAGCTAGTAAGATGTCAACACACCCTCTAACAGGCATCACAGTAGGGTTCGCAGCCTTAACACCAACTGATGATATCACACAGTATTATTCGAACGCCTTCTGAGTCAAACCGCCTTGGGTTGACTAAAGAGCATCGGGCACCCTTATAAACAAGGAAATACATTAAGATATAGTATACATCTATATATATGAAGGGTGCGGTACGAGCACATGACGCATCAATGTCTGGACATGGAATTGACTCTCATGGAGGCTTATCGGAACTTTCAGCATCATAAGGTTTATTCGTCGACGGTCCGCCGGGTACTCTAAGTCGCGGCCCTCGGAACCTATTCGCTTGTTATCGCCATTGTGGAACTTGGCGTGGTTGAGCCCACATGGAGAATTGGATGCTGCAGTTCAGGTCAGGGTCCGCCATGAGAGTCTTCTGTATTTCGACAATTGCCTCTAATGATAGATGTTAGCAGCATTACATGTGTGGCATACTCGGGCCATTGTGTGAAGACGACAGGTACAGCAGACAAGGCTTTATTGACAAATCACATCAAAACGGAACCATACGTCAGGTGTCACCCATGTGTGTCCGCCACGCTGGCTGGCCACGCACTATATGTCGTTTCTCTTACGTGTCTGTCTCTGGTTGGCTGCATATCTTCCTCGCATGCCATTGGAACGCATAGAGACACGGGATTGGCTCCGGCCAGGTGGTCCAACATGTCTGCGCCCTGATCCGACGCCACTGTAGAATACCCGAGCCCTAATAGGTAAAAGACCAGTACAACAGAACAGGCTTTATTGACCAATCAGAAGCCAGAGCCACGCGTCAGGCGCCTCCCATCCGAGTCCACCACGCTGTCCACGCCGCTCGTTATATACTGCTCGTCAGTCGTGTCCTTCTCTGGTTGGCTGCCTTCCTTTCCCGCATGCCATTGGATCGCAGAGAGACACAGGATTGGCTGAGGCCAGGTGGTCCAATATGTCTGCGCCCTAATCCGACGCCACACTGCCTCCCCCTTAGGAGTTAAGCTGTCCCCAGCTTCTGGCTTGGTTCCTTGCACTGTTGTTGATATCCAGTGTTGAAAAAGAAATATCCAGTTCGACAC